CTTATTTTATAATATTTTTTTCTTTTTGATAGTATTTTTAAATCTTAATATTATCTATAGACAAAAAAGATGATTGTTTATGGTATCACTGATAATTATTCTTTATGTCACTGCATAATAATTGTTACAGGTCAAAGTTAAATTAAGGTTAAAATTTTTTAACCTGTAACGTATTCATACCTACATGTACTGCACTGCTTAAAAGGTCACATAAAATGCTGCACTTTGTTTTGTTTTTAAGTTGCTAATTTTTGAAAGGTGTGAATGTTTCAAATTTTTTGCATGATTTCCACCACAAAAGGAGACAAATATAAGTTGCATGAAATGTACATGGACGTAACAATGCTATATCATATATGTTTAATTTGCACTGTGCCTTATTTGACCCAATCACAGCACTTGTTTGCGTGTTTCTTTAATAATTCAAAGTTGCACAATTCATGTTGTTTTAGGTTGAACATAAAAAGATGTTCACACCAGAGCCGTTTCTTGGCAGGTCAGACAAATTGGCTTGATATTTTTTTGTTGTGTTTAGTGTTTAATTTGCACTCATTTTGCCATCAAAGACGAAGCACCATTTCATGTTGTCCACATGTCATTAACAGCTTTATACTCTGAAATGTTATTTGTTCTTTTTTATAATCACATCTGTTCTCTATGTCACTGGAGACAGATTAGAATGATGTTAATGAAAGGGTTTAAGAGATTGTGCCCAGGGGTGGGATTGTGAGGGGGATGCTCACCGGAAAATGAAAATCAAACCCCTAAGGGAAACCAATGTGGTGTGGCTCAAGCTTAAACTGACCCCTAAAGGAGACCATACTAAACCAGATGCACAGCTGAGAAGTGTCAACAGCGGAAATAGATTTGTTTTATGCCAGGGATGTCATGTTCTTTTTTAAATATAAGATTTCTGTGTGGTCAGTGTCACAGCATTATTTGGACATTTCTTCTTATTCACAGCCCTAAGGAAAACCTGAATGAGCAAATATAGTGACTTTCTATCCCAAACACCCTAACTGCCATTTACCTACCAAAGCGAGATGGCGAGCATCCCTGTCACTTTTATATGGGAGTCCCCCCCGAGGATTGAGTATGTAGGGGAATTAGGAACTTGAAAGAATGGAGTTGGAACAGATATTATTCTGGGTACCTTGGTTTAGTATAGTGCAAGTGTGACTCATCAATGCATGGTTGCCACAGGATGGGGAATGGTCAGTGAGGGAAAAATAATTTTCTGCAAGGTCTGGAAAAATATGGAAATTTTGGGTCTGAAAAATTGAAATGATAAAGCCACTGATGTTTTACCATTGATAGTCTGCAACACATCTTTTACTCTTCTTCAGTGTTAGTGGGGAGGGAATGTGTCCTTGTATAGCCTCAACAAGCAAGGGTGTTCCCTTCTTGTACCTTCAGCCACACTCATGACCATTTTATTGTCTTGTACATTGTGCTCAAGGGACTGCTAATAAAGCTTGGGTTCTATACCGTGGAAGGCTGAAAGAACCATTTCAGGAAACTGTGATCTAAAAAATCTTTTCATTTATGAAAAATGTAGATCGGGTAGAAAGTACAGCAGCAGAGGGTGGTTACTGTTAGGGAAATTTTATTTTTACTGTGGAATGAAATTGTGCAGGAATTTGAAAAATTATTTCTGTTGCAACCGTGATGGTCTGCAATAGGAAACATAAAGTGTTCTGAGGACATAACTAGCTCAAAATACCCTTTCCTGTGTTTCATCTTGTACTTGTCTTCAAATTTAAATTCTGCTGCTTTGCCAGTAGCCTGCAAACCTGGACATATGTTCAATCGCTAGTTCTGTCCACCGGAAATACATCTGGGTGTGCAGACCATTTTGTCAGCTATTGGACTGAAACAGGTTGTTGGTGGGGTAGCAAATGCATAAAAAGCAGCTAGGATGGAGCCTGTAGGCTACAGAAAATGCAGACATCAACCCAAGAAGGAGAAATGTAACTCTGGGCACTTACTAAAAGTCAGAAGTGGCAGGCAGACTGGTTAATTGAAAAATTGAAATTAGCTTTTTTCAAGAGTTTTGCTTTGTATATTATTTAGGAATAGACTGATCTGACTGGACAGTCTTGTTTAATAGTGAAATTCTCTTTGTGACTGGTTTGGTTTGGCCAGCAAGTTCTGACTAATGGTAAGCACTGTAAGCAGTCTTCTTTCTTCTTCTTTCATGTTTGGTTTACACCACACTTAAGAATGAGGGACTGCTTGCAATCTTGGATGCATGAAACTAAATTTACCCCAACTCATTCAATCTCCCCACACAAATAAAATATTCTTAATCAGTTTTTGTTTTTCCTTTTAGGTTTAACAAATACTTCCTCTGGAGTTCTGGGGCCTGCTTTGTTTGTCTTGGGCAGTGTGGCAATTGCCTTGTTAGCAACAAAAATTAGTTAACATAGAAGAAATTAGAGGAAATTATAATATATATACTATTATAAGACAAAGTGATCTTAGGTCAAATTATTGTGGAAATTACAAATAAGATTTTGATCAGTCAAATCATAATAATTTTCTTTATGAGGTGTCCTTTGGTAATTATCAGGGTTCGTACAGAGGCTTAAATTCTTGAAAAAGTCTTGAAATTTGCCCAGCAATTTTCCAGACCTGGAAAAAGTCTGGAAAATGAAGATAAAGTCTGGGAAAATGATAAAAAGTCTTGAGGTATTTTTTTTGCTTTTCATTTTGGTCAAATCTTATTCAATCTGGCCAATATGCGTGTAGCACATCATGAAAAAAGCTTTGTTTCTGCATTTTTAAAGGTCTCTCTGACCACCTAGTCTGGAAAAAGAAATTACTGTTTTGGAAAAAGTCTTGAATTTTGGATCCAAAAATCTGTACGAACCCTGAGGAATAGTTCAATTTACTATTAATAATATAAATTTACTTTTCATTCATGATTTGATCTGAATATGAGGTAATAATGAGTCAATGTTTTTGTTCTTTTTTGATAAATTATTATTATATATTTTTTTATATCAGTCCTTTATTTAATATACAGGTCTTATGTAAACACCAATGAAATGTCAGTTGAGATTTTTTGCAAAATCATGATATCTTCACAAGTGAAAAAATCACCACTGCTATTGTTTCAGAGTAAGTTGCACACTTTGTGGCAAAAAATATATAAAAGGAAAATGGTTTGGTATTTCATTGGTGTTTGTATAATAAATAGAACATTACACGGTCACTTGGATATAAGAAAAATTGTGTTGAAAAATATGTGAGCTTTTCGTACAAATTTTTCAACACTCAAGGAGGAATTTCTTATATGTGCATGGCCAAAAAGTGTCCTCTTTATAGTAAGTCCTTTTTTTCAATTATAGAGCATCTTTAAGTTGGGGTATTGGTAAACAGTCTTCTCTTGTGTGTAGATCATTGCATATAACGTGAATAATGAAAGTGGCGATTTTGAAATAAAAGGTATTTTTTGCATTTGAGACATTGAACTGTACCATGTTTATTGATTCCTATCAATAATTCAGTAGCCTGCGTTGCAGACGTAATTCAATCTCGATTAGTAACGTCTGCAAAGCAGTACCGATATCCTTGTTCTGGGGCCCCAACGGACTCAACGAATTACAGTAAAACCCCACGACTAAGAACCTGGATTTTTCCAAGTTAGCCTAAACAGGTTCTTATATAAATGGTAGTTAGCACACGTTTAGGCTATGTAGGTTCTTAAATAGTTTCTTAGTTTCCAAGGAAAACATACGAATATAGCTAAGAGTATTTGGTGGTTCAGTTGACATATCTTATATTGTCTAAGTGTGCAGAAGTTTTTCATAGATTTTAGACAATAAGAACCTGTTTCAAATTTTAGGCTAAACAGGGTCTTAAATAGAGGGGGCTTAGTCGCGGGGTTTTACTGTACCGGAAGAGCGTTTCGAATTTTCTTTCATCTTGATTGGTAAATCGACCGTGGCATTTTTAACAGGCCAATCATGGCGTGTACTCAAATCCTGGTACACAGGACGGGACCTAGAACGAGGATTTCGGCGTTGTTTCGCAGACGGACTTCACCAGAGTTGAGTTTCGTCTACGGCGCGGGCTATAATCACTGGACAGACTGTTTTAGCCTGCACGTTAGGGGTAAAATTGGGTAAAAAGGGGTAGGATTCAGACTCCTACCCAGTCGCTATTTATGTGTTTTTGGGGTTGAGAGAAGATTGGGGGTTAGATTGAGGCACGCGCGGGTTAACGCGCGGGGTCTCATGAAAATTATGAAAAGGGACGAAGGAAAAATAGCGTCGCTAACCTAACCCCCAATCTTCTCTCGACCGGGTACGAGTCTGGGTAGGATGCCTCTTGGACTTTTCAAAAGCAAAAATTCCTCTCCCTTTCTTAGTTTTTGCAACCTAGGATGAAATTTCATGTCGTCAAACTTCATAAGTAACAGTTTTATTTCGAACTATATCTTCTCTTTAATCAGTGCAACTGCCAATAATAAATTAATTGGGCTTACAGGTCATTTTTATTTCCTATCTACGCTATTAACTTGTCCATTTCTTCTCCATTTTTTAATCTTGAGTCTAGTTGTCTCTTTTAAAGTATGTTATTTGCCAAAACTCAACTTTGTCCCTCCCCCAAAGCAAACTGTGGTGAAACGAGTGACGTTGGGGCTATATATTATATTAAATTTTAACTTTGGTAAGTCACTTTAGTAATAAAGACAGGTCTCCCGCTAACTTTGGAAGTAAGGGATACCCCGCACTGTGGTTGAGTAACCACCTTATATCACAGAAAAGTAGGCTAAGAACTATCCTTGGATAAACTCTTCGTCTGTCCAAAAGAGCTGCGCTTTTTCTAAGCATTTGAGTGTGAATATTATCTCCCAAAACGAATTGATGTTTTGTTAGGAGATATCGGCCGAGTGGCTTTATGTAAGTGTTACAGCATCACAGCACTCTGTCGAGTTCATGTGCTACTTCCGATTTAAACTTAACTATGAAAGAAAACTAAATCCGGAAACGTTATCGTGATGGCAGCATTCCCATGCCCTTGTTTCTCTTAACGGCTGCTCCTGCCTTTCGATTGTGATTTGCTCTCGTTCCTTTGTTTCTTTCATTATGCGCTCTTTGTTTCGACTCTGAAGCGCTTACACCCCTGCCACGCCCTCTGGTCCCCCCTTTCTGCCCCTCTTTGTTAGCTTCGTCTTTTTTCGGACCCTGTCTTTCGTGTCCTCTACCACGTTGTCTGCGGTTCACCAAGGATTTATCTACTTGGTCGTCTTGTGATTTCGCTATGCTTTCTTTCTGGGTTGGGTCATCTTCATTTTCTCCATCTTCCTCCTCCTCGTCATTGGAGGGTTCGGGTGAGCCGCCCAAAACACGAGGAGTAGTAAAGGGTCTGTGAATGTGAACAAAGGTAATTACTGACGATGAAACCCAACCGCTGGTATATATATATATAAAACATGTTTGAACAACACTCTCAATGTTTCTCGATTCGAATAATCTGTTTACAGTCTATTATTTTCCCCTAAGGTCGTCGGGATCGATGGCTTACCGTTACGGATGGTCATCTTGGTTTCAAATGTACTGAGGGACTATGATCTTACGGAATCTTGGTCTCTTTTTATAATCATAGCGAAGACCCTGGTGTGGAGATGTTTACAGTCATCCCAGTGATGGTAAAACGTCTGGTAGAAGACCCTGCTAACGACGTACGTATTCCCGTAATAACAAACTCATGCATTTTCCAATTTGTCCCGTGAAACTTAGCCTGCGTGGCGGGCACCAGTTAGTTTTTATAGAGGGCGTGTCCTAGAAATTTCTCCCTTCGCTCTATTAAAACCGGCGGCAGACTATTGAAACTTTGTTACATACAGTAACGGGGTTTTTCTGTGACTCCAAAACCAAAATAGAACGGAAGCAGCCACAACGCAACAATTGCATGCGTATGAAAGGCATAGTATCACGAGAATTCTACCAATTGTTTGCCTTAACTAAGCAAAAATTATAATGGTTCACTCGCTGGCGCACAAAATGACCTTTCAACAACACTGAACAGAAAGACGACTGACTTCACTTTCCACTGTATGAGCCGCTGAACACAATCAATGGTTTTTGGTCGATTGTTCCCAAATAACACTGTCAAACTTTCCCATCTTTCCGAAACAAAGATATTTTTTAGAAGTTTTCATGATCCTGTATGACGTAGCTCTCAGGGGATTTTAAGTAAATATAGAAAAACTTTCGCCCGATTTTCGAGGGGCGTTATCCTTGGTGATACTGTCGCTTTAAAACGTTTTATGAAAAAAAAATTTTCAGTAAAGGCCGGCTACTATGAGGACGACCCCCAGCTAATTTTATTTGGGAAACAACTATTCAATTCCCCGCCTACTAATTGCACATAACCAGCAACTTGATGTTTACAGGTAGCCATTTACGACATCTGGAGAAGGATCATGAGGTTATCCCTATTATTAAGATCTCTCCTTACAGATAACCCACCCAGCCCAGAAAAGATGGGCCACACTACCCGGGTCAACGACCCTACTCTTTTCGAAAAGTGGTGTGGGTTCTTTTACGTCCCACAAAAACCAGATAAGTGAAAATGTTGTGAGAGGGGACCTAGGGTTTTTCGTCCTTTAGCGAGAAGACTAGAAAGTCTACCCGTTTGCAGATGTCATAACAAAGGCAGCCCTTTCTTCTCAGTTATTTAAAGACCCTGGTTGTTGGTCCAGGCGCGGCGCTCTCCCAACCGAGCCAACCAGGCGGCGCATGATTACGGACGGCGGAGTCAAAAGCGTGAGCTCTGGGGTCGAGAATCAAACACCAGCAAAACGAGAACGTCCATAACCACAGGCAATCCAACCTCAAGTAACATCAATACTTGCGATACCTGTGGCTTAACTACCTACCTTCGTATTGTGAGCTCATCTGCTGAATCAGCATCTTGTGCTCCTACATTTTGTGAGTCATAGGTGTCATCATACTCATCATCGTACAAGCTCGCAGTCCAAACATGTCGATTAAACACATCATAAGCTGCGTATCTCTCCTTAACGGATTCTGTTATATCACTCTTGTCAGATAACAGCTTCTTAATGCTACCTACATCACGACGTTTGCCCTTATGGATCTTCGAAAGATTCAACTTATTCCCCGCAAAAACATCAAAGTCATCTTTGTCATAGACCGAATGCCTTTGCTCCAGTACAGTCTTCACCGGCTGCTTTTTATTTTTCATTGCCTCATCTTTTGACAAGTTTCGGTCCAAGTTTTGAAGGCAAGGTGGCAAATTGTCTTCGAGGATTAAGTTGATAACTTGTTCTACCTCGTAGTTAAGCTCCTCCAAACAGAGAATGATGAAACCGTCACCAAGCCCCGGTAGTAGATCCTGTACATGACTCACCAAAGAAAATAACTCCGCCTCGTTAACAGTCTTGGAAACTGCTCCATCGCTCTGTAAATTAAGAATATAGTTTTTCTATGTCTTTCGCCAAGAATTGTGTGAATACAAACTAAGACTAACGTCAAACCCGTGACTGTGGCTACGATCTTATGATGGGTATTCACGTACAGTGGACAGATGGATGACACGGAAAACGAAAATACCACATATTTCTATCTCTTGGACTTCGTACTTACCCTCTTTTTAAAAAAGAGGCGAATAGCAAGTGGGAAATGACCCATTGTTTTAATGTCAAATAAAAAACAGTACAGAACTTAAAAACAGTATTTTCTGGTGTGATTAATTTTACCAAACATAACATTGGGAATTCAAACTTAGTCAGGAAGGTATCAGGGGCACCCAAAGAGAATATAGTTCAAAACCACTTAAACACAGCATTGTTAAACGCATTTTAGTATTTAAACGGTAGATATAGGCATATTTTTATTCCCTAAAAATTTTTCATCTGTTCGGATTTACTAGCTGAAAGTCTAGTGATCCGAAAATTATAGGGATCAAAACTTACCTTTTCGAAAATTTCAGCCAGAAAAAAGGCTCCCGAAAATTTTAGGTGACCTTTTCAGGGTAAAAATCCGTTAAAAATGGGCAATTATACCATTTTTTAGATGTTCGCAAATCCTAGGAGAGGCAGGAAAACAAGAAATTTTACAACAAATGTTCCAAAAATTCTAGATCTCAAATCGTCTTCCCAACAGATCTTTTCCGAAAATTGTCGTTGGGTGCCCCTGAGGTATCAATTTCAGTCTGATTTCGCCCAAAACGGACATCCTTGTTTTATCACTCACTCTTTCATCCATGACTTCTTTAACTTCTCTTACATCTTCTTCTATCCAGCTCTCAAACTGGCCATTAACAGCAACAACGTTGTTTTCAGTACCAAAGGCCGCAGTTGATGAGTGAGGTTTTGTGGAATTTTCTTTTCTTTTTACATGGTTTGGAAATGCTCTTCTCGCACTTTCAACAGCAGCCATTATATATTCCACTCTAGTCTCGTCCGTGCTCACTGAACACCGCTGAATNGTATTTAAACGGTAGATATAGGCATATTTTTATTCCCTAAAAATTTTTCATCTGTTCGGATTTACTAGCTGAAAGTCTAGTGATCCGAAAATTATAGGGATCAAAACTTACCTTTTCGAAAATTTCAGCCAGAAAAAAGGCTCCCGAAAATTTTAGGTGACCTTTTCAGGGTAAAAATCCGTTAAAAATGGGCAATTATACCATTTTTTAGATGTTCGCAAATCCTAGGAGAGGCAGGAAAACAAGAAATTTTACAACAAATGTTCCAAAAATTCTAGATCTCAAATCGTCTTCCCAACAGATCTTTTCCGAAAATTGTCGTTGGGTGCCCCTGAGGTATCAATTTCAGTCTGATTTCGCCCAAAACGGACATCCTTGTTTTATCACTCACTCTTTCATCCATGACTTCTTTAACTTCTCTTACATCTTCTTCTATCCAGCTCTCAAACTGGCCATTAACAGCAACAACGTTGTTTTCAGTACCAAAGGCCGCAGTTGATGAGTGAGGTTTTGTGGAATTTTCTTTTCTTTTTACATGGTTTGGAAATGCTCTTCTCGCACTTTCAACAGCAGCCATTATATATTCCACTCTAGTCTCGTCCGTGCTCACTGAACACCGCTGAATTCTGTTTAAATCTTCTTTGATTACGAATCTGGAGTCATAACTGCTAAGAAATCTGAACAAAGAGCAGAGACACGGGATTACTAAATCAATTCAATCTATTGACATATATGAAAACACTGTAAGTTTCCGCTAGATTAGTTCCTCTTTCTTTCTGGAAAGTCCCTTAACTGTTGACAGCTTTTAGGATATCTAATGGCGTACAGTTTTGCAGTTTTCAGGCTTTTGATGGTAAAGAAACTAATTATCTTGGTGACTGGCATAAGGGAATATTTTTTTTAAAAGCAATAAAATTAATATTGGACGTGCTATATGGTCGTATGTATCTTTAAAGGGATATCCAGGACCCACTAGATGTTTTTCGTAGTCCCACAAACGCGACAAAAATAAGCGTAAAATAACAGCCATAGTAGCTCTCCCTAAGTCTCCCACCTACAATATTAACCAAAGACAGGAAATACAACACCCCCACTTATCATTATTTACCTTTTCTCAGAAAGAATTGATGTAAGAACTTGCAAAAAATTCTCTACACAACTTTGAACTTGGTCTTCGCTGCTGCCGCTTTGTTCATGAAAAAAAGTAAAATGTTGTCGTCAGTATTTTGAGCTAGAATAGATAAAAGACGTCTATAATAATATGGCTCCACTCTTTCCATTTGAAACTAAATTTTCTTTGTCTCATAATACCGAGCCAGTTTACCCACATGAGCTTGCTTCTAGACAAAACGAAAACTAAAATCTCAAGATCATGGTTACCCCACAAGGTACAGTGCAGTAATCCACTGTTTAACTGCTAAAGGTTGTATGGCTGCGGCTACTAGACTAAATAAGAGTCACTCGCTTAATCAAAGTAAAAATTGCAGTACCCTACGTGTAGAAGGATCCCCTCCCTTCCGTTTTCTACGTGAGCGGGGTTAAGGGGAGGGGACGGTTAGGGAGGGTTGATTACATGTACAGAAAAGCTAAATTTGCAGTGATTGAAAAGAGGCAAAAAATGGTTGTTATACTCCACTCATTATGAGGCTGACAGGACTCGGAGTTCAGATGTCTTGCAGATTTTACGGTTAAAATTTGATCATTATCGGCAAACCATCAAATAAGCCGTTTATATTTAAAATGTTCTGGTGGACATACCCTCTTTCCAGTGGTTCGATGCAGCAAGTGTGAAGAATAACATGGCAAACCTTAATGAGAGCCAACTTAACATGCTTCCACTTTTCCTTTAAATTCTGTGATTTAATGTCAATTAAACAATTTCTAAAATGTGGAACAAGCAATTCATAGAAGCCAGCCACTCTTTGAACAAATCCATGCCTGACAAATGAGTCACAGACCACGGGATATGTGCTCAGGAAGGCCAGCAGTGTTTCTGTTGTATCATTTAAATAAAGCACAATATCCTCTAATTGTCGAACAGACAATGATGCACTTGGTCCATTCCTCACATCACTAAGTTTCTGAGGCTGGTCAGTTTCTGCATCCAGTTTGTATTTAATTCCACACTTTGACAATATATCATCTAATGTTTCATAAATTGTTGGGATTGTTGCATCAAGGTCACTGTGATACCTAGCAAAAGAAAAGTAAAAATGTAAAATGTTGAATGAGAGTATGTAATCCTAATACAAAAATTGTCCTCATTTGTACGCACATTTTCTTCCGTTCACTTGTTTAAGCATAACTCAAATTATCAAGGAATTACGCGTAAGTCGTAATAAAAACAACAATATTTTTTCATCTCTCAAGCATGATATTATGTTTGTGCCAGATTGGCATGGGATTTTTAACAGCTCATTTTGGGATGGCTAATTGAAATCATCATCCTAATCATCCTTTGACCACTGGAGTGGACGAGATATTCATGGAGACCTCCTCCCAAACACCACGATTTACCATCACTTTATTCAGGTCCCTTATATCAGATTGAAATAAAATATGACAAAAAACCCTTTACAATCAACATTAAATAAAGTTATCATGTTTGTTTTCTCATCACTATAAGAGTTTTGCTGACTGTTAGTCAGCATGATCATTGATTGCAAGTGGAATCGATTTTTAGGAGTTTAATCCAATTATGTATTATGACTGTGCCATCACTGTATTAACAGCAGAGACCAGGGGCCCAGAAAACTTGATCATACCATTCTACAATCTGCTGTTAATGACATGCAACCCTCATGAGATGCCCAAAGGAATCCATGGTAGAGATCAAGGTGGTTGAAAGTTGGTAAAACAGCATGCAAAGAAAGTAGTGCCCGATAGCCCGGGGCTAGTGGATTTTGCTATCGGGCTAGTGATTTTTGTTCTTCACTTGCCCAAAGGGCAACTGCTGTTTTCTGGGGAAATTCAAATTACAGAAGCATTGTAATCAATCCTGCTAATCAAAAAGGGTTTGGGGCTAGTTGAAATGACTTGTGGGCTAGTACATGCTAGCTACAGCTTGCGCGAATGGCAGGCTGTAAAAGTCACTTTCTTTACACCCTGGGAAAACTAAACAAGGTAATCTCTAGCAACATACGTAATGTATCAATGAAGAACTAAACAAAAATCAAGTTCATAAAGTCTTTCTAATTAAGTTCTTCAGTGAGTAAAGGCTTCTTACTTTGGTTGTTTGGAGAAGATATTGTCCAGCATTTTCCGCAAAAGTGGTGTGTTAGCACTATTCTCACCCCCATAGAGGGTACATATATCCATTATCTTCGGAATATCAAAAAGAAAGTTCTCATAAAGAATGTCACCAAATGTGTCTGCTGTAATGAAGTCCTCCTGCAAGGTAAATGAGGAGTAAGAGACATTTTACAATAACTGAGTGATTTCTTGTGTGGATTGGTCGAGAGGTACATTGTATGGTCAATAGGTTCAGACCTAAGGGGGTAATGATTCATATTCCTTGCGACTGGATTCGATTTCGATTATTGCCTTTTGATTTCGATTATGTAAATGTTTCTTAATTCTTACGACATAACGAGTAATGTAAACAACATGCAACCCTAAACCCTCAATTTGAGAATAGTAACAGGGAAAGGAGGATTCACAGTTGCTTGTTCATTTATCGCCATGTTTGAGAACCTGACAATGAGCGTGTCGCATATGGTTTGCCTTATTTGGAAATTCTCAAGGGGTGGTTTAAAGACAGCATTTTTACCAGGCAACAAAAAACGTCACATAAACTGCTGGTCAATCAAAAACGCACACTTTAAAGAGTTCCTGAATCTGATTTTACAATATAATAACTCACTAAGGGCACCCTGGAAAAGGAAAATTGAAACATGGAACCAAAGAATTGTGCATTGAACCAAACAGTCATAATTTTTTATCGTGATTAATCGAGAATGCGATTAATTGTTACACCACTATTCAGACCATAGAATTGACATGATGGTGTTGAATTTTGTTTTTCCCTTTCTGGCCCGCATGATTTTCTGAGAAATTTTGACGGGAATGGATGTCAAAAACTGTCAAGAAGTTATTGTTAAAAAAAAAAATTATCACCCAACTAGTTTAGCTTTTTACTTACTTCGGGTGTCCCACTACTGCATGTACTGTTTATTTAAAATTTTGAAAATTCTTTTAGTTGTCCACAGTAGTAAAACTAAGCTGTTGTTGTCTTTGTTAATTTTCCATGGTCTATACTCGACCATAGACATGATGTTAGAATGATCAAAACTTTGCAGTGAAACCACTTTTAGTTTCGAACATCTTGATGTCACTTCAGTCTATGCTCAATGACAATAAGAGTACAGACCATGGGAAATTGACATTCATTTGAAAAATTACTACCATCATTCCTTAACCATGTTGAATTACAGCAGAAAAGTTGGGTAGAGTATTCAAATTCAAACTACTATATCCCCAACAAATTAAAAAGTCAAAATTAATACAACTCGTGCAGTATCACAAGGAGGTATGCAGTACTGTTACAACACTTTGGGTAGGTTATTTAAACAAAGNAGTTTAGCTTTTTACTTACTTCGGGTGTCCCACTACTGCATGTACTGTTTATTTAAAATTTTGAAAATTCTTTTAGTTGTCCACAGTAGTAAAACTAAGCTGTTGTTGTCTTTGTTAATTTTCCATGGTCTATACTCGACCATAGACATGATGTTAGAATGATCAAAACTTTGCAGTGAAACCACTTTTAGTTTCGAACATCTTGATGTCACTTCAGTCTATGCTCAATGACAATAAGAGTACAGACCATGGGAAATTGACATTCATTTGAAAAATTACTACCATCATTCCTTAACCATGTTGAATTACAGCAGAAAAGTTGGGTAGAGTATTCAAATTCAAACTACTATATCCCCAACAAATTAAAAAGTCAAAATTAATACAACTCGTGCAGTATCACAAGGAGGTATGCAGTACTGTTACAACACTTTGGGTAGGTTATTTAAACAAAGTCAAACTTAGGCTGCGGTTTTCCAGTCTACGCTATAAATGGGTAGAGTGCTTTTCCAGTCTATGCTATATGCCTTATTAAAATGTTCACAAAAAATGGTTCTTAGATAAAAGCATTGGTCAAAGAAAAAAATAGCTTAGAATGTGGTTTTGTGAAACATGGACTAAACTCTGTGTAAATAACTGGCCCTTTGGGTTGTATGTTGTATGTAAACAAACAGGGAAGAAGAAATTATTGTCTTTTGATTCAAGGGCTAAGTCTCCTGCCAGAACTTTTTTATTATGAGGGGATTATGAGAAAAATATCCTTACCTTGGACTCCTTATGTGTTGACATCCTAACATATGTCATGAAAACTCTTTTGTGTACATTCTCATGAAGAAAAGCTAATTCTGGTGAAAGAACTGATGCATCAAAGTTCCTAATGAGGAGAAGAACTTGTTAAAGCAAACTGTTTGAAATCAAACCCATGTACATAAAACAATAATGGATTGGTTTCGCAAACTTTGGACAAGTACACAAGACCTAATTTCAAACTTTCTAGGTGATAAAACAATGTTTGGATCACCACATAACAAATACGTAAAAGTTTCCTTACCACAACCTACAACAAAAACTGTTCAATGAAAAAGGTCTTTTCAGTACCTTGGTGCAAATTGTAGATAAGAATCCAGAAACTGCTGCAATGTTTCATCAAATATTACCTTCAAGAGAATGAAGAAATGTGCAATATCATGCAGGTTTCCTTTACACTTCACATAATAAAAATTTGGCAAAAAACAAATAGAGAGGAGGAGGAGGATAAAAATACAATAAAGATTTAGACTGGCCGAAAAGCCAAGTCTCCAATTTTTATACTTTAAAATAATAAAAGCAATTAAGATCATTACTACAAACTCTACACTAAAAAGAAATCTTCAAATCCCTACTAGGTTACAACTTCTAGGGTCAATATTATTATTTCTGACAAAAGGAAAGACCTAAAAGAAGCTGACTTTTGTGATTGCCATGTAATGAGCTTACAAAGTTTATCACGTTATCTTATCAAGCATCATGGGTGGAATTGTGTGGCATGAGTTTATCTGAATCCGGGGACAACAGCACATGTGGGTTATGCTTTTACGTGCTAGTCTTGCCCTTGCTCTGAGAGGCTTTTATCTGGTTATTTGCTCTCCCCTAATACCAAGACTTTCAGATGTCAAAATATTAGATTGGGTATATGGATGGTAAAATAGACGAAATAGCTGAGGTTCTAACTAACTGAATGGCAGAAATGCAAGAATATGCAAAATACAGATGATCGCTCAAAGAATGTTATCTACTTTTTGAGGATCATCTGCACGGAAAAACATCTGTTTTTATCCTGAAACCATGCAAAAAAATAGGCCAAAGTTTTAAAGAAAGTCTATGAGAAGGTAAGATTGTCAGGAACTTAGAAATATTTTGAATGAACAATAAAAGGATTATTGAAATCAGCTTTCAAATGATGTGAAGAATGATGCAGATCTCAGAGAATGTTATCCACCTTGGCCAAACATCCTCCTCGATCTGCATAATTCTTCACAGCGTGCAAAGAAAGTAGTGTGTGATAGCCCAGGGCGAGTGGATTTTTCTTTTGGGCTAGTGAATTCTGTTTTTAACTTGCCTGATGGGCAAGTGATGTTTTTTGAGGAATATGAATAACAGAAGATTACTGTGAAATCAATTCTGCTCGTCAAAAAGCTTTCGGGCTAGTTGAAATGACGTCTGGGCTAGTAAGTGCTAGCTTCAGCTAATGGCAAGCTGCAAAAATGATTTTCTTTGCACCCTGCTTCACCTCCTACTCAGCCTGGCTCAATAATAGGTAAATATTTTACCTGGCACCAGAATCTGGAATGTGGAAGGCTCATCAGCCATTTCAAGTCATCATCAATAAGTGCAATCCTTTCACTCCACTCTTCAATGATACCATGATCCAGGACAGACTCAGACACTGGGGGAGGGGTGTAGGGAACAAATTGTACATCCTCAGCCCACACAAGATCCTAAACATTTAAAAGGAAAAAAGGGAATGAAGCAATCAATAATGCTCGAATTAGTGACTAAAATGGTAACAGTTTTATCTGGGGCAAGATAGAAATAGCAGATGATATACAGAGGATATTACACGGTGGCGAGAAGATATGAATTTTATGTTTGAGTGGCAAGAACAATATCTCACGAGTGAGCGAAGCGAACAAGTGAGATATTGTTCTTGCCACGAGAACATAAAATTCATATCTTCTCGCCAACGTGTAATGTTCTTTTTATTATATGGAGAAACCAATTAAACAAAAGCAAAAGGCGGGAATCGTGACGTCATTGAACGATACGACACTCACAAAGGTGACATACGGAAAATACGCCACTCGGGTCCCGGATGAAGTGGCGTATGGAATCTACGAGTGGTTTAGTTCCCAGTAAAACACTCTCCTCCATATATAAGTGCATAGTTACAGGCAGCAAGTGTTAATATGTAATGAGCATTCAAGACTGTGCAGAAGTCATTACCAAGATAAAGTTCTTTACAGACAAATAATGGCAAGTTTATATTTCTCTGAACAGCACCCCCTGATTGAAGAAGGACCATTTAAGTGTTGCAAAGATTTTTGGGCTAAACAGCTTGTAATGAGTACTATACACAACCTAATAAACCTGCCTTGATAACATTAATCATAATACTAACCAGCTCTGGAATTTCTTCAAGAACATTTGTCACAGGATTTTTTGTCGTCTTAACACGCAAGTCCAGAGCAACAACACCTTCATTTCCTTTCTCCTTCTACAAAGTAAATCAATTTTCAGTTTACATCATACATCATTTACTTACCTAAGCCTATTACTTTTCTCAACGATGCCACAACTTGATAACTTTGGTGAATAAAATCAATTTTTCATTAACAGAATCAAATAACAGGTTTAGGTGATTATTGCTGCTGATTGTGTTAGCTGTTTTTAATAACATTACTTACCGGTAGTTTGTTTTTAGAATAAAGTTCTACCAATTTAGATAAAAAATTTCAATTATACCATGTTTACACAGATTATTTTAACTCTAGTAATTAATAAATTGATATTCCCAGCCCAAACCTTGTCAGTATTGATAATTGATTATTTTGACTAATGAGGTGCCAATTATCAAGTGCAGTGTATTACTGAGTAACATTAAGAAGTTGTTTATGTTCTTAGTGGCTGATTGATTTCCTGTGCTTTAATTTGTTATAACAACTTTTCATATTTTCTAAGAAAGCAATAACAGATAGAAGGCTTTGATAGTTGTATGAGCGCAAAGTTGAGATGCTATTATTTTTTAGCACCAGGAAGAAATATTGAAATTCCATTTTTCGCCATCAGTTAGGCCAAAATGTTTTAGCTGAAGACAGTCCAGGGGAAAAAATCTTGACAGCATTTGTTTTTAAAGTTAAGGACTTTGTTTTGGATGGTAACGGTCGACGTAGCAAATATAAATAAAAAAGCAACTAGATTCTACAGCTTGAGTATAAGCCTTACACGATATAAGCTTAAAGTGAAATTCTAAAAAAAATTAAGCTTAAATGTTTCAATTTCTTGGCGAAGGAGATTATAATCTTAAAAGTTTATTAATCGATCAACCAAAATACATGTTTTATTAAACTACGTTTTT